CAGCAATTAACCACTAGGAAGAATGTGTGCAATATGTGAATTATTGAAACTGTCCTACCAATTTGATTTGAAACTGTCTCATTGCTATTTGTTTATCAATAAAATTATGGGAAAAATAAAGGTCATTGCAGATTTCTATGAAAAAAAATCATTTCTTTTGATTTCATTGAAATCTTCATGGAATTCAAGATTATTTGAAACCTCATTTTTTTTTCTTTTGTTGTTCTTTCTTTTCCTTCTTGCTCTTTTCCTCTCCCTGTGCCTCCTCTTCTTCATCCTTTTCCTTCTTTTTCTAACAAAGTCTCACTATTTATTGCATACAGACTCTGAGCTCACAGCCCTCCTGCCTCAGCCTCCTGAGTGCTGGGACTGCAGGTGTCACCACACTTGACTTTGAAACACCATTGTTCAACGTGTGGAAGAGCAAGGGGAATTTTTTGTTGTCACTGTCTGCACTACTTAGTGCACTTGGTACAATGTTAAATGCATTTCTTTTGGGCAAGATCTGACAAAACAAGCTCTATGGTACAAGATGCTAACTCATCTGCTATCAAAATTCCCTTTTTGGTTGATCCGTGGGGACATTTCAGTGACAACTGAACTGGGAAAGGCAGTTTTGCTGTTTCTCCCAGCAGGCAGGGAATGATGTGTGGAATGTTTGTTCCTGTGGCAGGGTCAGGCAAACAACTGGCTGTTATTTTATCTGAGCAAAATTAGTGTTTAGGGGGAACTGAAAACATTTTCAAATTTGCTTCTCTGATCCCGGCCTCTGGAGACTTAGTCCCTAGTGTACTTTCATCTCCTTTCCTGTATGGTGACCATGGTTACCTAAGAGCCAAGTAGTTGAGGCACACTGCAGGTGAGAACAAAGGGTGAGCAGGCCACCAGGGAAGCATACAGTCTAGTGGCACCAAGTCAGTGCTCCTAGGCTTTATAGGATGGGGGCTGTATTTATGGCTTTAAACTTCGAGGAAACTGGGGAGGTAGCTCAGTGGCATAAGTGCCTGCCTAGCCAGCACAAGGTCCTGAATTAGATCCCAGGTAACAAATAAACAAACAAATACACTTCAAGGAGCTCAAATTAGTAGGACTTAGTGACTGATGCTGGCAAAAATCAATCTATTTTGTAAAGCATGGAGAGAGCGTGGGCTCATTCTTGGGGTTGGGGAAAGAGTCTCCTGTATAGAAGTCAGTGGAGGTTAACAGTTTTAGGAAACTGCAATTTGGTACGGCCCAGAGATCAGCTTGCACTGGGTAGGGGGTGTCTGTAGCTCAGTCATGACATGGACATGTCTGTGAACAGACTGGACTGTCGAGGCACTGTAAGCTTCCCCTACCAATGCTACTACTCCATTTTTATTCATCTCTTGACACCCAAACTGAAGTCATTTTCTGTGTGCTATACCATATACTCTGTTTTGCTTCTTTTCCTCACTAAATGCATGTTCTATTCCATATTAAAGTCATACAATCATTAGACCTCCTCTGTCTCTCTCTGATGTCTAGGTGAAGCTGATCATTGGTGGTGTGCTTATTTTCCTTCTTCTCTTCCTTCTTCTCCTTCTCCTACCTTCCTTCTTTCCTTCCTTCCTTCCTTCCTTCCTTCCTTCCTTCCTTCCTTCCCTCCCTGCAAGGCAGGCACTTATACCACTGAGCTATCTCCCTGGCCCTGTTGTTTATTTTTTTTAAAACAGGGTCTTGCTCTATAGTCCATGTTGGCCTTGAACTCACTATATAGCCCAGGCTGGCCTCAAACTCATGGCAGTCCACCTGTATCAGCTTCCTGAACTGTGTAGTTTTCATTCGACAAAAATAAATATTTTCTTTCAGTCTATTTTGGGGATTAAAAGCAAATTGGCAGATTTTTTTTGTACTCTTGTGTTTCAGAATGCATTATTAATATCTATCTATTTGTTGGACACTGGAGCTCAGGTTTGCAGGCTTTTTATTAATCTGGCAAGGAGTTGGACTGCATATAGCTGGTGCCAGAGGCTTGGAATTCCTGTAGGATCTTTATCTTTCTCTCTCCTGCTCTTTGAGGTTCTCTAAGAACTATTTATCACATAGAATCTGTCCTTCTTGTAGCTCTTTTAGCTACAAACTGCTATTATACTGGACCAAGTTGGTATGGGAGAGACGAAGTAGTTCTCTACTCTGAGACTTGCAGGGGGCCTGCTCCATTTGTTACCCATGGACTGCCTGCAATGTGACCTAAGTGAATTTCTACTCTGCCTGGTTCTTGTCTGAGGTTAGGATGCTCGGGAGGTCATACGGTCGGCCAATCAAAACTGGTTGGATCTAGGCAACCTCCAATCTCACTGCAGTGCTATCTCAGGCTAAATGACACA